TCTCCGTAATATTATAATAATAATAATAATAATAATAATAATAATAATAATATTATTATTATTATTATTATTATATTATTATTATTATTATTATTATTATTATTATTATACAAATAAAAAGAAAAAAAAAAGTATTCCAAAACTGCCAAAATCTTGCAAAAGTTAAATTTGCAAGTCTTTCCAATTTTGAAAGACTTGCATTTGGTAAAAAAAAAAAAAAAACTCTGGCATGGCACACTGGCTCGCCAAAATGCGATTCCCTTGCTTTTAGCTAGGGATGGAAAGAGACTTATAATGAATTTCAAACACCTACGAATTTTGGTTTAATTAAATTGAAGAATTCCATACAACGCTTTGAATTTTATAAACAGAGACATAGATGTGACAATGTTTGGTAACATAGTTAGTTTATCAGTTTATTTTATTTTATTTGATCACTATTAGCTGTTTGACTTGGTTAAACAACTAATATAATCGTTTGATTAATTAATTTTTGTAAGCTTATTATTACTTTAAAATATTAAAATTCAAAAAGTTGTTCAAAAAAGGTTTTTTGAGAAAATCATTTTGCATGTAATCAGCTATCAGCTAACAGATAACAGCTAATTTACAAAACATTTTTCTACAATCACCTAATGCTATCAGCTAGTCAAATCCACTAACTCAATCAGCTATCAGCAGTCAACTAACAGCTTTTTACTAAACACCCCAGAGTTAAAAACTCTTCACATATGGTACGATGCTTAAATTTATATATTATTAACTTTAAATGAATACTTACATATATCAATATCCTAGACATTCGAGTACATTTACCACCCACCAATGACCTTGTGGTCTGTTGGCATAAAGTGACTCTCTTAAATGGGAAGTCATTTTGTGTTTCAATAGGTGGAGAAAGTAACTATGAATAGATATTACATTGTAACAGAGATACTAGTATTCCAAAAATAAATAAATAAAAAATAGTACATTTACCACCCAAAAGAATTTTTCATTTTTCTATAAAAAGTTAAAAACAAAAACATAAAATGCATTTACTTGTACACTTCTTTAATTTGAAAATAGATAATATAAAAAGAAAAATTAAAGAGTTGAAGTAAATGCACCCTAGAGCATCCTCAATAATGATGTTGGGCGAACAAGTTGATTTTACACAAATAATATATACATATATATATATATATATATATATATATATATTAACAAATATTTCAAAAATATATATGCCTGCTCAAATATATAATTCGAAAATTGTATATACATACATATATATATACACACGCAAATAATGTGGTCTTTTATGACTTTGTGAATCTCATCAAAAAAAAATAATAATAAAGAAAAAAATTATTGGTGCGCGAAACACCGTGTGTTTAAAGTAGTCGCGAACTAGCAACTATTTTTTTTTTTAATTTAATTGTTTTTTCAACCAAAAATCCCAACAGATTTTCACTCTATTAGTTTATATATGTGAACTAATAAAAACAAGAATATATAAACAAAATTCAGTTGGAGTTAGTTGTTGTGCATTTGGGGAGATAGTGTGACGGGATGGAGTGTGAATAGGGAGAGTAGAAACCCTGTTTTAGTCAAAAGTTGTGCACCATATTCTATTGTTCTGGATATTTCTAGATAATCAAACTACTGGACTTGGACCAAATTATAATATTCGATATATAATGGAGTAATTATTATACAATATGTTCCACGTACATTCATTATTTTTTCTTGTATCTAATTTACTTTATTACCAATATGTGGTATACGCTATGTTTCTATATATGGTGTCATGCTATTGACCCTAACATATAAATTACAATTTATAACGTACAAGTAGCGATATTTTTTTAAATGAGTGTAGTATCTTGTATTTAAAGGTCACGAATTTGATCTTTTCAGTACATTTTTGTTGAACCTATTGCATAAGGTTTTTCTAATATAATATAGTTTACCTCTCCTATTTGATTTGAGAACTATTACACAAGAGTGGTGCTTACTCAGTACACACTCTCAGATAGTGACTACAGACTTCACTCGTCACGTACGCAAAAAATAATAATATATTCATTTTGTTAAGGTATTCTTTAGCTAGTGTATTGCTCTGTCCTTCACATACTTGATACTCCTTTTGGCATACAATAATAGAATGTATTTTCACCTTTGATCCTTCAATTATGATGAACTTTTAATCTTTGTTAGTCAATTTTGACCTTATTAACATATGGGATACAATTTTATAATAAATGACCGCATTATCATATTGGGTGTGGATGAAATGACCTACGTTTTTGCTTCTAACCCAATTTATGAGCCTTGCGGGAGGGAATCTGTAGTGTGGCCTCAAGGTTTTTTTTTTTTTTATTTTTATTTTTTTTATTTTTTAATTCTTAGCTTTTAAGTAGCGAGATTATTTTTCTCTAGCTACTAGTAGCTATTTATCGATCTCTATTTACATTTTACTTTCTCAAAACCTCTTTTAATAAAAAGAGTTCAATAATGAACCTGAAACCGTACAGACAATCCACGAGCAAACACAGAATCTTTACATTAATTACCAACTGATATAATTGAAAAAAAAAAATTGAGATAAACTCACCATTATACCAAAAGTTATAGCTAATAGTGCCGGCTTCTACCTAACAATTCTCTCCCCACTTGTCAGCCTTAATTAACTGCACGATTTTATTTCTTCCCACCAACCCCCTAGCTACCTGGTGCTGGACTTAGCCCTTCATCGACCTCCGTCCTGCAATTCTCCCTCAAGCCCTTAACCTAGCTCTGATAATACTTGTTAGGATTAAACGTTTATCACTACAACAGAAGCTATAACTAATAGCGAATGCATAACTTTATTTTATTATATCGTCACATCTTCAAGAAATAAGTGCTGGACTCAACATAACCATTCACGCCTCTGACCAACAATCTCTCAGTTACTTGTACTGACCTCCCCCAAACACAAACATGTACAATACTACGAATATGAACAACGTAACTGTTAAACAGTAGATAAGGTTAACGTTGTTCTCGACGGTAAATTAAAAACATGGAGTGTTCAAATGAAGAAAAAGAAACATGAGACGTGGACGTGAACGGCGAGAATAGTATTGCCAAAATTTTGTCGATTATAGTTGTCGGGAGCGTCAGCCGTGGATTTAAGCAGCAATTTTAATGGGGGCACGGGTTGTAGAAAAAATAAATAATAGTGCTTGACTTGTATAAATACAGATATGATTCCAAATTAAAGCTAGCGAGTCTTCAGGTCTATAATGGAGGCAAGATAAGAATCTTTATTTAAAAAAAAAAATTAAAAATTCCTGATGTTAAATGGGGAATTGGTCAATGGCTGTCTTCCAGACACAATTCTCATTCGACCATTGGCGTATGTGTAAACAGTTGTCCTCTTTAATGAAGGTACTCGTTTGATTGGTGTTGTGTTTTTTGAAAATTAGGTATGTACAAATTGACATGGGAGTGGTTGTTTTGATTAACAATTTGATTTTTTTTTTTAATAAAAAAGATAAATTTTGTCTTTTTATATATTCAGAATGAGTAAAGAGTGAATAAAAAATTAATTGGTAAAATGTATTTATAAAATTAGAGAAAATAATTTGAAAGGATTTTAAAAATGACTGATTCAACGTTAGAAAAGTATGTAAGTTTGGACTTATATGTTATTAAAATGTTTTCTTTTGCACATGCACACTACACACTAATCACTGGTTTGGTGTTCTTTGGAAATTAAGAATGGGCATTCTTGATTTTTTTTTTTTCTTTTTAATATGTTGAAAGAGCTGGGAGGTGAGATCAAGTATATGACTTTTTATGTTAATGTCATATCACATTAGTTAAACTTTATCATGTGATAATTAGTTGAGCATGTTTTGGTATAGCATATTAGTTTATGCATGTCTTAATTAATCTAATGAATTTAGAGAATGGTCCTCGCCAAGATTAATTTTTAATAAGGTATTTTAATTTTGATACAACAGATATAATCAGGTTTGGATTCGAGTTTAATGTAACAATTAAAACATAAACATGAGTCTTTTAACTTCCAAATTTATTCAAAATCTGATTATTACATACTTAAACATATACGCATTATTATCAATATCCAACTTATCAGATATTCAATTTTATGCGGCTAGTTACTATCCCTAAACAAAATATACCTTGCTAACTTTCTTCTTGTCCTAATCAACATCATATCATCCAAGTCAAACGGTATGCCCACACTTGTGGACTTTACTTTTCAAGTTTATACTTTTAACACTTTGTTTTCCAAATTTTCAAAAGGTCCTCATTTAACTTTCAAAATACTTTATTTATTTTGCTTAGATGATTAAAAAACTCACAATTATTATTTGAGAGTGTATAAATTTTGTTTGCTTCTCTTGTTTAATAGCTCATAATATAAATCACATAAGAAAAATAAATCACATTAAAAATACGTCGTGTGATAAACTCAACTAAAAAATATGATACGAGTTGAACTTATAATCTTTTGATACGAAAATTATACTTCAGGGTTACCCTTCGGTGACTTTCAAAACACTTGTAATTCTTGCCTTTTGATGATGCATCTCCACGACACTCCAATGACTTCGTCTGCTATAAGTTATCTGTTATCCAATTAAATATTGTTAAAAAATCACCAAATATTCAACAATCTCTGAATTGTCAGCAAAATATTATATATATATATATATATATATATATATCATAATCAGGTGCGAACTGACCTTACTATAATTAATCAGTGAACTTTTGAAAGATTGCACCACTCTTACTATACTATTGCACCGCACCCGAATCCAATTGCAACTCAAGATCCTCTAGGCATGTCTAAGAGTGGTTGCGGTGCAATCATTCAGAAGTTCGTCGGTTAAGGTTGGTTCTCATCTGATTATGAATATATATATATATATATATATCAAGAAAGAAAGACAATAAGATCATTCATTCGTTGACCCTTGACTACTGCTGCCCTTTTGTTTTCTATTTAAATAAATTCCTATATATATATAGTGAGCATCTAGGTGATGATGAAACTCATACTCATAAGATCAGAGAGCACACTGCACGCATGATTACATATAATAATAATATATAGAAAAGAAAGAAGATGGACGCAAAAAAGATGGCGGTGGCGGCGGCGGCGGCCGTCGAAAAGGATGAAGATGAAGAAGTCATACTGCCGGGGTTTCGGTTTCATCCCACCGACGAGGAGCTCGTCGGATTTTACCTACGACGGAGAGTGGAGAACAAGAGAATCAGTATCGAACTCATCAAACAAGTCGACATTTACAAACATGATCCCTGGGATCTCCCAAGTAAGTATATAGACACATACGTATATATTTCTTAACTTTGTTGTCTCCAAAAAACAAAAACCCTAAACCCCCTTTATGAAATTCAAATCAATTGTTACAATCGAGATGGTAATAACTCTTCAATCTAGCCAATTAGTATTATAGGTTGGTCGGAACAATCAGCCAAATTAATCACAAGATTACAAGTTTGATTATTAGTTGAATTGGAGCGGCTATTGGTTTTTTTACGTTTGAACCGGTCAACTTTGAATAACCTAAGCTGATTTATGTCATCCTTGCGGCTAAGGTCACAAGGTGCCGAAGCAAGGCTTAGTGTATAAAAAAAAAAAAAAAAGATCTTTTGGGATATCATTATTTCAATAAAAACACACTTTTATGTGTAAACATATACTTCAGTAAAATTTTCAAGACTTGAACGAGTCACAAAAGTAAGATGATATGAATCAAAAATTCAAAACCTTAATTGTATCACAAAAACTAGTTCGTGTAAATTTGACCCGAATCTTATATCATTACCCAACATTTCTATCCGTAATTGATGTGAGACACATCAAATTGGATATGCATTATATTTCATTAGTTGCATGATAAGGTTCTTGATCCTTATCATGGGTGTGGAATGATATTGGTGAACAGTGCAATTCCCTGATTAGGAAATTAAAGTGATGATGATCCTATTACGAAGTATATTATAGTTGTTGGTTTTGTCGTGTGTACACGTCCGATGACCAGATTTCGGGCAGTTTGACTGTTTCATTGTTTATAGGGATCAGTTACTGTCATAATTGGTGTGTAAGTTTTTGAATGACAAATGGGAGGACAAAGGGCTAAGCTCCAACCAGAAGAAATCACCAAACCTATTTTAAACAATTAATGAAAATGACTTGGGAGGTCATAGGGTTCATTTGACTCAGCTGCCTTGTCTGATCTTTCCCCACATTCATAATTAGTGTACAAGAAACCACATGATAATAATGAATTAAATATGGCCCATGTGGAGTGTTCATGCCAATAGGGTAGTCAATACATGCATACAAGTTAAAACTACACTTAATATAGTTTATATATTGGATGGCCAGTAAAATAGTTAGCTTATCAGTCAATTTTAACTTAAAAAATTAATATAAGTATTTGGTTAATTAGCTTTTTGTAACTTCAAAATGCCAAAATTCAAAAAGCTGTTTAAAACAACTGTTTTAATTAGCTTTTTGAGAAAAGAAATTATATCAACCAGCTTACAGGTAATTTACCAAACACTTTTGTACCATCAACTAATGTTATCAAGTAATTATACCTTCAAATTAACCCAATCAGCTAACAACTAACAGTCATATGCTAGAATTGCTACAAAGGTTAGGACAAATCTCATCAAAAGCAATACTAGTAAGATGATTTTAGATTTTAAGCCAGGTCATTTTTATAATGTGCTTTTCGTCTAAGTTTTTTTTGCTATACATTACTACGTACAATTAGTTATTCATTGTAATTTATTATATTGGTTTACTCTATTGTAACAATTGTTTAGTTAAATGGCTAACCCTTTGACTTGATTATTGACATGATGAAATGAAGAGATTGGGACTCATGTTGGTGACAAGGAATGGTATTTCTTCTGCATCAGAGGGAGGAAGTACAGGAACAGTGTGAGACCTAACCGGGTCACCGGATCCGGGTTTTGGAAGGCCACCGGGATAGACAAGCCGGTTTATTCCACCGCCGGCGAAACCCACCTCTGCATCGGCCTCAAGAAATCCTTGGTTTACTATAGGGGCAGTGCCGGAAAAGGAACCAAAACCGATTGGATGATGCATGAGTTTCGCCTCCCTCCCAGACCGGCTGACAAGAACAATAACATCTGTCAAGAAGCTGTGAGTCTATATATATTATATTATTTCATTATTCATTTAACGTTAGTTAATGCCTAATTCTAATTCCATCCTCGTGTTTAATCAAACCTTAATTTATGTGTATTATATTCTTGATCCGACAAAGTCATTAAATGTGTCTGTTGGGATGATCATCATCATTAATATTCATACTCTGTACTGTTTTAAGTGGTTGATCTGATCAGATCACTTAATATTGATAGAAATGGTTAACCTCCACACTTCTTGGATTGGGTAATGATAATCGTCAATATTGACCTGGTTCACACAAAATCTTATAAAAAGATATGGGCCACTGTACTACCTCTTGAAAAAGTAAACAAAACTATTTGATTATTGGATCACCTAATACTCTTTAATTTCAAAAATAATATTCAACGGAGTTATAAGTTACAATATATTCTACGCAAATGTATAGCCCTAGATAATTCTAACATGGAAAGTTGTCATCACATGAGCACATTGTTTGATTTTAACTAGTTGAGAACTTGAGATGTGTCCCGAAATAAAATTCAACTGTTTGACCAGAGTTCTGTTTTGTTGACCGTCATATGGTATAGGGTTTGCCATTTACATACAATATATGATTTTTTTTTTTTTTTTTGGGACGACTAAGGAAACTTGTAGTCACTACTTCAAAGTGTGTATTAAGTAAATTTCGCCTTGTAACATGACAGGAGGTTTGGACATTGTGTCGAATCTTCAAGAGGACAACAAATTACAAGAGATGCATGCCAGATTGGAGGCAGCAAACAAGCAGACAGAGCACGATTGTGGACAATAATAATGCAAGCTCCAAAACCTGCGGTTTCGACTCCAAAAACGTCGTGAATCTGAAAGACATGTCAATAATGCAGGTGACCAAGAATGAAGCAGCAATGGCGGCGGCATCAGCCCAGAAGGAGCAAAGAAACCAATTCTACGTAGCAAATGATCAGATTTCCATGGCGCTCTCCTCGTACTCATCCTCGTCGACCAACACCACAACATTCTGGAACTCTCCGAAACTACTAGATAACCATCACTTCTTCATCGGAGAGAATCCACATTGGGATGAGCTGAAATCGGTTGTGGATTTAGCCACTGACCCTCAAAGCTTCTGTTACAGCCATACGTAGGAACATGTTCTGTCCGGTTCGGGTGTGGACCGTTGGAGTTGGGGATTTAACTTTTTGAGAGAAGACGAGGGGAGGTTGAATGCTTTGAGTGGGATTAATACCTAGTTGAGTCGAGCTTTATACTGACTATACTGAACAAATTTAATTAGTCCTAGCTCCCTCTCTTCTAAAATGTTTTTTTTTTTTTAATTTAATTAGGGCTGACATCTATATACATATTTGTGTAATAAAAATACTAAGTATGTAGTGGTTCTCTTATAGATTGATGATATTCCATCTCAATCTATGGTAGAGTGACATCATGTCATGATCTTATTTATGAATAATATATAGGATGATAGATCAAATATTTTAGTTCTCTTGTATATATAGTGTTTATATATATGATCTCTTGTTATATTATGATAATAACATATTATTATTGCTCGAAAATAATAATACTTTCGGGTAGCTAGTAGGTGCAAGTTACACATGAACAAGAATTTACTTGATTTTTCGATCATAAAAATAACATATACGGCAAAAACTTACAAGAGGTGGAAGCATGATTGGTTGCATACTACTTAGAGGTGGAATCTTCTAGATCTTCCTATTTGACCCGAAAACAATCGATCTAGCCATAAGTAAGTTGAAGAGAAATCGGAGTAACCTTCAAGTAGTAACGACCTAAGTTTTTCTTATTACTTAAAAAAAAAAGGTTACATCAAAATTTGATTTGTATAAGCATAATATAGTATGTTTTTAAGTAATCATACCATATTATTGAACCTTATTGTCCTACATGTGGTCTGTATGCGGAGGATGTGCTTCATACACTGCTCACCTGTACACTAGCTGATAAAATATGGCGTGCCTCCAATCTTACCCCAAAAAGCTGAATCCCCAATCCAAGCCCCCCTCCCCCCCCCCCCCAACCCCCCCCCAAACAGAGCATGTGGGGCTGAATCCCCAACCCAAGTCCCCCCCCCCCCTCCCTTCTCCCCAACAGAGCATGTGGGGCTGAATCCCCAACCCAAGCCCCCCCCCCCCCTCCCTCTCCCCACAGAGCATGTGGGAGGATGTAAATCACGGTGTCAATGGGTTAGTAGACAAGGCCAAATGCCGGTGCCCACAAGGAATCTGTCCAATTTGGACATAATTCTCACACTGTAACCGCCGAATTTTGAACCTTGATCTCTTACCTCAAATATTATCCACTAAACCATTGAGCTAAACCTGTGCAGGTGCGTGCCTCCAATCTACCAATCCCTTGCGCAAATGGTTTGAATAGCACGGCTTGGATTGAGCTATTATTTCTCTCTTTAGCGAAACTTTGTAATTGGGTATCGCAGGACTCTTTCTTGTATTGAAACACTATCCCTCTTGACTCTGTATTGGAGTTCTTGATTTAATCTATTATCTTTTCCCCTAAAAAAAAAAAAAAAAAAAAAAAGTAATCATACCATATTCATAAATATGTATTTCATTTTGTCTCATATAACTATTAGGGAAAATGACACTTTTTCCCCCTGAGTTACATACTTATAGCACTTTTGACCCCTTAATTATTTAGGTAAGCACATTAGTCCCCTCAATTATTCTAAAAGTGGTGGTTTTTCCCCCTGATATATTAAATTGACATTTCTACCCTTAAAGTAAATATTTTATTTATTTTACTTCTCCAACAAATTATTGCGTATACGTAGGGATGACCACGGTTCGGTTCGAACTGAACCGGACACTAAAGCAATCGAATTAAAAATTTTCGGTTATGATTCAGATCTATAACCCAACATTTGGATTTCAATTTATTAAAATTATGAATCAAACAAATTGGATCCTGAACGGCTGAACCGTGAACCGGGGGTTCTAGATCCGGTTCGCGATTTTGAACCGTCTTTATTTTAAATTTTTGTTTTTTATTTTAAAATAGCCTAAATTCAACAATAAATGTATTTTATTTTTTAGTTCGGAACATGAACCGTCCGTTCTGGTTCGCGATTTTAATAAACTTTAAATATCGGGTTTCGATTCTAAATTGTAATTGGAATATTTCGGTTTGGTTGCTATAGTGTTTGTTTGGTTTGAATCAAATTATGGTCATAATTTGTTGGAGAAGAAAAATAAATAAAATATTTATTTTAAGGGTAAATATGTCCATTTAACATTTCAGGGGAAAAAACAGCCACTTCAATAATTGAGGGGGGAAAAGTGCTATAGGTATATAACTCAGGGAGAAAAAGTGTCATTTTCCCTAACTATTAATAATCGAATTAAGATATACATGCAAGGTTGCTTCTAATGGAAATTAATGTCAACTTGTTGATGGGCTATGGGCTCATTTGGCCCAGACTATACTTTGGGCCTAGTTTGGTCTTAGTATTCAATTACTGCGAAATAGGCTTCCCAAAATGAGAGCCTAAAATCGGAAAAAAAAAAATTGGAATTTATTTTTCCTTCTCTGAATAAAAATTTAATTTCATTTAAATTGGCAATTTTCAAGTCAACTAAATCTCAATATCAAATACCTATCATCTATGACACACTCTTCACGGTCTTACTTGAGTTATGCCATTAATAGTTGCAGGACTAGTATATCATCTTTTGATTATTGTTTGCTTCATTATGTTCTTAGACTAGATAATTATTTAGCTCATACCTTAGCATCTAGTGCATTTACTCAGTTGACTAGTATGTATTCGGACTATGATCCACCAGCATCTCTTTCTGCATATTTTGAATAAATGTCGTACAGGCTCCTTTCAAAAAAAAAAAAAAAAAAAAACTCAATATCAAATATGAATCACTACTTTTAAACTCTTCATTTAATTTTTTTTTTTTTTTTATAATATAAGTGCTAAATTCCGATACTTAATATTATGGGACGTTTGGTTGGAGGGAAATAATTACGTGAAAAATGAATTACAATTTCATGGGAGATGAATTATTGGGAATAAAATGGAATTTAAATTCCAGCGTTTGGTTTACATGAATAAAATTACTAGGAATTTTAATTCCAATATTTGGTATACATGGGAATTGAAAGGGAATAAGTAATATAAAGTCCAAAATATTCATTGTTGTTGTCCAGCGTCAATTTTAGGTTAAAAATGAGAGTGGTAATTTTGTCTCATCATTATTTTTTCTTTTCTTCCTAAAATCCATGGAATTAAAATCCCAAGGGGAGAGCGGGGCATGAGATTATAATTCCACGAAAATGTGGGAATTGTAATTCCTTCCAACCAAACTAAGGAATTTAATGGCCTTTGGAATTATGTGGGAATTAAGTGGAATGAAATTTAAATTCCCTCAAACCAAACGTCATGTTACAAGGCGTTTGGTTAGAAAGGGAAATTACGTGGGAAAGGAATTGTAATTCCATGGGAGTTGAATTACTGGGAATAAAGTGGGAATTTAAATTCCAGTGTTTGGTTGACGGGAATAGAATTACTGGGAATTTCAATTCCAATGTTTGGTATACATGGGAATTGAAAGGGAATAAGTAGTATAAAGTAAAAAATGTCCATTATTGTTGTTAGACATTAATTTTATGTTAAAATAGGAAGGGGTAATTTTGACTCATCACTATCTTTTTTTCTCAGGAATTAAAATCCCAAGGGGAGACATGGGATTTTAATTCTGGAATTGCAATTCCCTCCAACCAAACTACGGAATTTAATGGCCTTTAGAATTAGGTGGGCATTAAGTGGAATGGAATTTAAATTCCCTCCAACCAAACGTCATGTTAGAGTTAATACTACAAATAGTCCTATGACTATTGATGTAATACTCATTTTAGTCATCGACTTTCAATTCGATCAAAACACATGTTTTGACTTTCATTTTTGTGCACAAATAATCCTCCATTAAGATTGTTCAATCTAATGTTATTATCGCCAAATCAAAGCCTATAAATTCAAGAGAAGAGTTTATGCCCTAATTACTCCAAACACTGGTAAAGGTGGAGAGGTGGGTTGTCCGCAGGTACGGTTACAATTTCTCCGCTTGCCCATTGGAACAGATTTCTTGGATAATCGCCGGAATGAAGAGTTATCCTTGATGCTCCTCTCACAAATTAATTAAAAAAAACTATAAACCAGTATTACTCAATCACAAATTTTCGAATTTAATACTAAAAACACTGCAAATTTAAAAAAAAAATAGTAATAAATAAAAAGACGCATCCTTAGCTTATTGTTAAGAGAACTAGTAAGACTAATCAAATTGAAACCATTTCAATAAAATAAAATGAACAAGTCAATTATATTATTAGCGTTGTAGACAACAGCAACACAATCAATATAATCATCTTCTACAAACATTCGAAACCTTTGGAATGAAAACCAGGCCGGCCAACTTTTGATTGATTCTTTTTGTTTGTGTTACGTTTGATGGTCAAAGAAAACAACTGTTGAGCAACATTATTATTATCGTCTACCTATGAATTGAAGCTAGCGGCGGCGGCCAACAAAAAGTTGTAATTCAAAAGCTATTCGATCAAAGGGAATTGAATGTCACTCCATCCATCATCATGTGCTGCGCCTGGCCATGGACCCCAATTTTCAAATTTCTTGAAATTTTATGATCAATCTTTATTTTTTTTTATGACAACCAGAAAAACACACAATCATTAGTTAATCGTGGATCAGAGAAGTAAATTATACTAGAAAGACTTAGTGAGATAAGTTCAACCGAGAGAGTGTTGACAAAATTAAACTCGTAACTTTTTAAGTACGAATCATACTCTACTCACTCAGTCACCCATTTCAGACGCAAATCTCTATTTTATCATTAACCTAATTCATTCCCTTTATCATTCTAACATTATCTCATCATAGATTCATTTATATTAATAGACATTCTAAACTTGAAAGCTATTATTTGGTTAAAATTTTCATAAAAATTCATCTCCCTACTTGGTATATGGTTAAACAGGAAAAATTGATGATAGTATCAAAGTTGAATTAGTACTGTATAATTATTATGATAGTAACTTACGTCATAATCACTTTTAAATTTAAAGAAAAAAAAAACAAAACACATGTTATAATTGTTGGTTTGAATTTGAATGCTTAGGTATAGTGTGTGAACATAGACACCATTTGTGGCATCAAAGACAAATATTTTTTATTATTAGTATATAATAAAGTATAATGGTTGAAATATGATATTAATGAAATAAAGATATGAAACTTAATTCCATAGTAAAAATGATATAAAATACTTGCTCTCTTATTCTTTCGGAAATAATAAAGGATAAGTTATTCATCACAAATAAAGAAACCAATTAAACCTAATTACTGGATTTGAAAAACCTTAATTAGACCTGGTTGGTATCTTTGCCAACTAATTCAAACTCTCGAGAGTTTGATTATTTAGTTTTCTTAA